TTCTCTAAGTCTCTGCTCCTTGAAATGAATGTCATTCCTACTTATTTCAAAAAAGGGGGAAAAAGGAACCTTCTCTTTTTGTTCCTTCTTTTAGGTTGAAAAATAATTTCTTGTAACAACTGATGTGCTCCCCTTACTTCAGTGCTGTTATATTGTGACAGTTAAACCTCATTTTTGATCAGTTCTGCTTTGGATTAAAGAGACTTTTCTCATAGTAGCTAACATCTGTACTCAGAGTGCCTTTCTGTATATACAGAATGCCTTCCTTTCTCCACAGAAAAACTGCAAGAAGTTCTGGAGTGAATGAATGTCCCTTGACCTAGCACCTTTATTGTGTTAAGCACAGTGTAGAATTGAGGGAGTTAGATGTTGCATGCTACAGCAAAATGCCATTTGCAAACCTTATGCTAAAGAATGGAATATATGCTCATTTTTATCTGCATATTTTTCATTATTAAATTGATATCCCTGGTTTTTTTTTCTTCCAAGGCTGACTAGATAGCTCTCCATTTCGTTATTTTATTCTCACAACAATCGTGAGGAAACATAGGCTGAATCAGGATTGGTCCAAAGTCACCCAGTGAGCTTCTGGGTGTTGAGTGGAGACTAGAACCTGAATCTTGTTCTCCTCTAAACATGTCATGGTGCAATTTTGAATGGATTGTATGTTAGCTTGATTTTTACCCCTTCCACCTCTCTTTCACATTCACATACTGTTCTTAAAGGTTTGTGGGCCCTCCTTGCAGCTAATGAAAGGATTTCCACTGGATAAGATTAAAACTACTTAGTATTGTATTGATCAAATAATGGAAGGCTACCAAATGTTTGATAGCTCTTAAATTGGACTGCCCCACAAGAACAACTAGAAATTTGCCTTGTGAACACGTCATTGCTAGCGGCACCTCCTGGTTGCCATTCTGCTTAAATCCTTCTGTCTGCTCCAATCTCTGTCATATATAACCACCCCATCCATATTAGACTTGACAGTCTGTGTGGGGTATTCTTGTTAGATTGCAAGCTTTTCTTTCCTTATTTCCCTTTTTTCTTTAACCTCATCATGCACAAAGTATTACCATATGTTTTAAAAGCTTTTTTCAATTGACAAGTCCGGCTTCTCTCCTTTAAGTAATACTCATTCAAAACTCATTAAATGGAACAAAAAAGGTCCCTTTAAAAATGAAAAAAGAAGGCACTACTTTCTTTAGTGCTGACAAATCACTTTTATGATGCACTTTTTTCTTAACTACTGCTAGAGTGATAGGAAGAAGGGAACTGAAACCCCAAAGCCAAAAGGAAGCCCTGTGAGAAATAAAAGGAGGTTTCTATTTCTTAACTTTATTATTGTCAGTACTGGCTTCAGGTTCTGCGTAGGCTTTGGGCTCAATATCCCAGTGAGCCTATCAGCTCACCACTAATATCTCTGGGCGCTGCTACTCCTCCTCATTGTACCACCTGCTATTCTCCTGGTAGAAAGCAAGAGAGCAACACTGAGTGGGATTTCTCATGCCTCCCTTTTAACCACCGCTTCAGGATGGGGCGAAGGGAGAACAAGTGGGTGAGCATGCGGGTTCCATGAGCTCTTGTCATCAGCCCTCTTGCTGCCCTCAGCAGCTGCCCAACTGTGTTGTGCCCCTGCATGAACTACACTGGACACAACTGGAAGTAGTGGTAGTTGTTTTCCCTTCTAGAAAAGACAGTGCTGGTGCTTATTGTTAGCAGGGTGCAGTCCCAGTGATTGCGACCCATAGCTGGAAACTGTTAATAAGTAAACTGGTTACTAGCTTCTTTGCTTGTTAATCATGTCATTGCATTGTGTATATTGCTACCTTTTGACAAGACCAAACAGTTTGTAAATGCTGGGAACCCTAATGAGCCCAAGACTCCATCTCTTAGAATACTTAGTACTTAGAATAACCTCATTGTCTCAGTGGAGAGATTTAGAAACAAGGTGCCAAGCAGTAGCTGGGCAGAGCAGCATGTTGAAATCTGGTTGACAGAGGTCTCTTCTAATGTTTCTGGGTGATGACTTTTTACTCGGGTTCTTGCTTTGGTTATCTATCTGCAGCCAAGGCAGCAGGTGTTGGGAATTACCTAGAATGCTTTTTGGCCTTCTGGTGTGCATTATATTTCCAGAATGGAGTTTCTTTCTGAGTGATTATTTGCCTGTGCATTTTGTTTGTGACTCTGCATGTTGGGATTACCTACATTGCTCTGAAAACACAGTGTCATACCCAGAGACAGAGTGTAGGGTCTGGACAATCATGTCAGCCCCATACCAGGAAGGCTGGAACTCCTAATGTGCTTGCCAAGGGTCAGTGTTGTTCTTTCCCTGTTGCTGTGTAACTTATTATCCCTGGAAAGAAAGTGCAGTGGTGATTCATTACTGTTGGATGAACAAACCTGAAGTAATACCACCATTGCCACCATCACTGTCCTCCTTTTCTTGTGGAGGAGATGCATAGGCACACTTTAGGCAGAAGGAAAGTCCTACAGTTCCCAGTATGCTGGCTCACTGGGACATGTTGCATGGTTTACGAATTTTCCCAGTCTAAACATGCATAGCATTGTGCCTTAAGTCTCCCTAATATGTACCTAGAACAGTCTGCTCCAACTTGGCACCTTTACAAAATGTTGGACTTTTGTAAAGGTCCAGCATTTTTAAAAGTCCCATTATCCACAGTCAGCATGGCCAGTGGTCAATTGGAGTGCTAAACATGTGGAGGCATCAGATCAGAGGAAAGACTGGCCTAAGATGGTGTGGCTCCTGCTAACCTTCATAGTAGCAAGAATTCATGAAGATTCTGTCCACATGATTCAGCTTTCTGGCCTAGTTGTATCACAGAAAAAGGATGTCTACCCTCAAAGGCCAAAAATAGTGCAAGGATGCTGGCGAGGTAATAATAGGTTGTGTGTGGGAGAAAAGGCTTGGGCTGAGTTGTAAAGCTGAGCCAGTAGACAGAAACTGGCTTTAGGAAAACCATTAGTCATTGTCTCTGCCTGCATCGGTTCAGAATACCCTTGCATTGCTTTTTAAAGCTTGGCAGTACAGTTAGAATTCTCTATCAGATGCTCCATCCTCAAAGCTGGGACTGATGAATGCTGCAGAATGGCTGGTGAGTCCCACGCAGCTATGCTTTCAGTTTAAATGATTCAGTGGGGAGACATTTATGCCAAGTGCCTACTTTGGGCAGGTGGTAGTAGGGATGGACACAGCTGTTTGTACAGGGAGAGCTTTGTTGTATCAGTTTAGTTTGTACTTACTGTTTAGCTGATGTTGCTTACCAGATTTTTCTCATAACTAAACTGACAGGAATGTCTGTGAAACTTAAGGTAAAAAGAGAGTAATTCCAGTGGACGGAGGAAGTAATTTTATTAAGAAAAGCAATAATTCCATCATGTTGTGAGCATTTATCACAGAGCAAAGCTATTACAGGAGATGGTAGGCCAATTTACATGTTAAAACAAACCCGTAGGTTTGTGGGAGTGTGTAGGAGTGATAGAGCACACTGCTTCCAGTGCTTCTGCTTTTAGTAAACTACCTAAGAACACTCTATTCATAGGTTGTCATTGTGATGCCCAGATCCACACACTTCAGCTTGTGTAGGGGTTAAGCAACCCAGAGTTAATTCATGGATTAATTTTGGGTTATCTCTGTTCAATTCCTGACCCCTAAACAATCCTGAATGTCCAGGTTCAGTGTCACATTAACAACTTACAGTCAGAGGAAGGTTGTTCATTGAAAATAGAAGTGCAAATATATGGTCTAAATTTAGACCATTTTTATGCTCGATAAAAACAGATCTGCTTCTGCTGCCCACTGAAGTTGTTCTCTTTACATCCAAATTTGTGGTGTATTACATGCAAAAATGAAAGACTGCTGACATGATAAAATAAAAAGGATTCCATGCTTCTGGAGATTAAAAAAAGCCCTTTCCATGTAACATTCAGAGCCTTTGTTTGTGGACAATTGGAAAGGTGCTGAAAGAATCTTTGGAGTATGTTTTACACATACATGTATATGTATTCATGCATGTGCACATAAGCACATAGTACAAATGGAAAATGTGAACTGCTGAGGGAAATGGGTTTGTTGCCGTACTGAAGCAAGGTCAAAGAAACCTTATCTGGACTTAATAATATAAACTGGGGGTAAAGTGTGTGAGTAACTACTGGACCAGTGAACTCTGGAGTGGAAGAGGGGCTTGCCAAAATACTTACAGCATGTGATCTTTCTAGCCGAAAACAGTTCACTAGCAATGCATTCCGTCTTTTAAAGCTAACTGCTTGGACCTTGCTGCACTTTTAGCCAGGCAGCAGTACCAAGAGTTTTACTGAATTTGTGGTGACTGCCTTCAGCCTTGTTTTCTACAAGTCAAGTAGGCCTGCTTTATGTAAAAGTTGCTGTGGCCTGGCACTTCTGTTCAGTTGCCTGCTACTTACAACTCCAGAAACAATAACTTAGGGGTTGATTACCCATCACATGTTCCTTTCCTGCACTGCTGTTACAAGAACAGGACTCCTGGATACACTTGACTCAGTACTGATCTGAGCAGGAAAGGTCTGAGCCCAGGGCCTGGCTGGCTGTTCCTTTGAGAGGCTGTTGACTTTGCCAAACATCCTTCCACAGCCAGTGACCCTCCAGATGATTTGGACTTCTCCCATCTTATCCAGCCAGTAAGGCCAGTGGACGGGAATCATGGGAGTTGCAGTTCAGAGCAGCTGGAAGGCACCAGGTTGGGTACCAGGTTGTTCTAAGGCTTTGTATAAAGTGAACTGGTAGCAGGGGCTACAGGTAAGCAGTAAATTTCAAACCCCTGTTAACATAAAACTTTCTCTGGGCTTTACCAGTTTTAATTGTACAGGTGAAGAGGCTAACGAAATAGAGGGAAATAGATAGTGCTCTGTTTTTATTGTGATGGTTAGTGAGGTTATAGTCTGCTGTAACCATTTGATATCTAAACTCTTACTACAATCTTTTTTTATTCTCTTGCTCCCCCCAGGTGTGACATCTGTTGTATTACCTTCCGCACACACCGGGGTTTGTTGCGGCATAATGCTGGCATCCATAAACTACTTCCAAAAGACCCAACAGGAAAGCCTTTTATTCAGAACAACCCTTCAATTCCAGCAGGCTTCCATGATTTGGGATTCACAGACTTTTCCTGTAGGAAATTTCCCCGCATTTCTCAGGTATCTACCCTTTTTTGGCTGACTATCTGAATGTTACCTGTTCTTTCTTGCTGTGTTAATTTCAGAGATGATGACTGGAAACAAAACTCTTGGGATATCAAGTGTCTTGGTCCAATCAACATACTTGCTATGCCCGTATTTGCAAGCTCTAAAGAATAATTAAATTGTAAGCAGAAGTTTTGGAGGATACTTGTTAGCCCTGCCTTTTGCTCTTGCTGACAGTGTATCTATTGGAAAGGCATGCTGCAAGTGGACAGTATCCAAAAGTCTCCTGGCACTAGCGATAGTTTTGCAGTAGCTAGTGCAAATCTCTGGGTTTTCCACTTTTTAAATGGGAAAAGTAAAGCTTCTGAGATGGGGTATGCCTGAAGAGAACTTGAGAGTCACAATACTCTTTCAATCCAAAATACTGTTTCTGTTGCAGCAAGATGTTCAATGCCATGGCACCTTGGAGTCTTATGGGTGTATAGGTCAGTTAAGGCTCTCATGCCTTCTTATAGTACATTGACTTTCATAATTATGATGTTTTCACACCTTGTGAATACATGGGGCCAATTTCCTCTTACTCTGGAGATAAGAGCAACCTGCTGTGCTAAAGTGTAAAGTTTGGGGTCAGCTGCTTGGCACTTCTTCACTCAGATTAGGTCTTTGAGGGTTGCTAATGGACTTTTCCATTAGCTACTCAAAAGTGAAAGGGGATTATTGAAAGAGCAAATGTCTACAGCAGAAGAATTTGCCAGTGAGCTGCTTGGCAAGTTGAAAGGGAATCATAGTCCACCACTTCCCACCCTCTCCTCTCCTCTCTTCTCTCTAATTGTCAATCAAGGATCAAAAAAACACTACTGTTGTCCTTGTATGCGTGTTCTCTCACCTTTTCTCCAAAAGTTAGCTACATGCGGATTTTTCTTGATGGGGGATTTTTGTGTAACTAGGATGATTGTGCAGGAGTTTATTAAGTAGTTGTTTTTGGAGTTTGATTTTTTTTCTCTTTCCTTGTTGGGATTCTTAACATTACGTGTTCCCTTGTGGTGTCTCTTAGGTCTGGTGTGAAACAAACCTGCGGCGATGCATCAGCGAGTATCATCGGTATGTCTGCGAGGTGTGCAACAAGGCCTTTCCCATGCTCTCAGCTCTCAAGCTGCATGCGGAGACCCATGTGACAGATCAGGGAAAAGAAAAGCACAAACTGCAGCCAGAGGATGCAGACCTGAAAGCTTACATGGCATCCTTGGGGCTGCAGCACACCAAAGAAGTTGAGCTTGTCAAGCAGGAGGAGCTTGTGCCAGAGGATGAGGTCCAAGAAATGCAGCTAAGAACCTTGACGTGTAACCTACCTCAGGAGCCTGGCAGTGCTAACCAGTTGAACGTGTCCCCTTTGGAGGCTGCATCTGGGGGAGGGCCTTTTTCAGTCCTTCCCCCAACAAAAGAAAACATGAAGCTCCTCACACTGCAACCGTTCCAGAAAGGCTTCATCATTCAGCCTGACAATAGCATTGTTGTCAAACCCATTTCCGGAGAACTGGCAGACATTCAGCAGATCCTAAAGCTGGCATCCTCAGCCAGCCCGCAGATCAGCCTCCCACCACTTTCCAAGGCACCTCATGTTTCTGTGCAGTCCATCTTCAAACATATGCCTCCACTGAAGCCAAAGCCCTTGGTAGCACCTCGCACAGTTGTAGCAACATCAACACCTCCTCCATTGGTCAACACTCAACAAGCATCACCTGGTTGCATCAGTCCAAGCCTTCCTCTGGTGCCACCCAAACTAGTTAAGACCCCAGAAGAATCGACTTCAAACTCTCACCTTCCTCACAGTCTGTCGGGAACCATCTCCAGCTCTTCACCTCAGGCCAAGGCAGACCCCTTGAATCAGCATGAGATGAAGACACAGCTGGAGCAAGATAGTGTCCTAGACACACTTCTGCCTCCGACTGTGGAGGCAAGCATTAAGCAAGAGGTAACAGAGCGAGACTACAAAGCCATCATCACTGGGACACCAGGCAAGAAAGCCCCTGCCACAAGAAAAGTCTTGTACCCATGTCGCTTTTGTGACCAGGTCTTCCCTTTCTCCGGGGTCTTGAGGGCTCACACCCGCTCCCACTTGGGCATCTCCCCCTATCAGTGTAACATCTGTGACTACATTGCTGCCGACAAGGCGGCACTGATCCGACACCTGAGGACGCACAGTGGGGAGAGGCCATACATCTGCAAAATCTGCCATTACCCTTTCACAGTGAAAGCAAACTGCGAGAGACACCTTCGCAAGAAGCACCTCAAGACAACCAGGAAGGACATCGAGAAGAACATAGACTACGTTGCCAGCAATGCAGCGGAGATGGTTGACGCCTTCTGTTCCCCAGGCACCGTGTGCACCTCCTGTGGGGAGGACCTCAAGCATTACCGTGCCTTCCGCATTCATATGAGGACGCATAATGGCTGCCAGAAGAAGAAGCCATTTGAGTGCAAAGAGTGTGGCACGACCTTCTCGGCCAAGCGGAACTGCATCCATCATATCCTCAAGCAGCATTTGCACATTCAGGAGCGGGAAATAGAGAACTATGTGCTAGCAGTGGACTGCACCCCTCCGGAGAGCCAGCCAGGCCCTCTGCGATTGGAAGACAGCACTTACACAGACTGCAAGCCTGTCACACAATTCCTGGAAGCACAGAATGGCTTCTTAAGGGCCGCTCCCTCTCATGCATCGATCAAACTTGAAACTGCAAACAGCTTCCCTATGGATTTTGATGAGCCGTTGGATTTCTCACAAAAGAACAAAAACCTGAACTCTGTGCTGGTGAAACAGGAGAGCCAGTTTGGTTCTTCTCCCTATGACAGTTCCATGGAGCCCATAGACTTGTCGATCCCCAAAGTTTCAAAAAAGGACAGTGATGATGCCACAAGTGAGGATAAGAAGCAAGAGCTTGATGGGCATGATGACAAACTCCACAATGGCCAGCAGTCTTCTCCAGCTAATGGGAACCTGGAGATCCAAGCTCTTAGACATTCCCAGCCATTGAAGGGTCCATTGCATTTGACTGTCCCAATAATTTCTCCAGCTCTTCTGGGGAACTCAGCCTTGCTGCGTCCCTTGAGGCCTAAGCCGCCCCCTCTCTTGCCAAAGCCTCCTGTCACGAAAGAGCTGCCGCCCCTCGCTTCCATTGCCCAAATCATTTCGTCTGTCTCTTCTGCTCCCACTTTGCTCAAAACAGAAGTCACAGACTCTGTCCCCAAGGTGGCCATCAGCAGCTCTGCAGGGTCTGAGAAGCCAGTGGGCTCCAAACCAAAAGCAGCCATCTCGGCTGCTGCCCATGCAGACCCTAGCATTCCCAGTGACTTAACGCAACACCCGTGCAGTCCCAAAGGGCCCCAGAAGTCTGCTTCTGGATCTATGAAGAAAAGAGGCCGGAAGAAAGGAACAAAAAGCAAGGCGAAAGCAAGCAGTGGTGTGGACCTGGAGTCAAGTGGGGAGTTTGCCAGCATAGAGAAGATGCTTGCAACCACAGATGCAAATAAATTTAGCACATTTCTACAGTCGACAGAGGACTTCAAAGAAGCCACTGACCGAAATGGCACCAGCGAGGAAGAGAGGGAAGTGGCTGAAGACAAATTGAGAGGGAAGAGGAATGCCTACTCAAACTGCAGTCAGAAGATCAAGTGTCCTCATTGTCCTAGGATTTTTCCTTGGGCAAGTTCCTTTCAACGGCATATGCTTACTCACACAGGTAAGAGAGTTCCGTTGTGAAGTGTCCTTGGGCACCTTCAAGCAGATAGTTGTCACAGAGCACATTTTTCACTTAAAAGACCAAGGACTGAATACAGCTGTACTCAGGTGAACCCCTCCGTGGGGCCAAAGAAAATTGCTCAGGTGAGCTGGAAAAGTCTTACCACTGTCTGTGTGTTGTCCCTGCAAGGGGGAATTTTGCTAGGGTATTGGTGTGTTTACAATCAGCAGGACCTATGCCTTGAGCTTGAAGATCATGGCCGTGCATTACATTTGTGAACAAGCCACTTACGTTGACTTGCACTAAGCAATGTAATGAAGAAGCTCTGTGCTTTCATGATCCAACCCTGATTTGCTATTCTGACTAAGAGGTCAGTGCAAACCAGTTGCTGGTTTGGGTGTGAAGTCAAAGTATGGTTTGCTGGAGACAAAGCAGTCAACCAGAACAGGTTGGAAATACCTGCTATAGAATCTAAGCACAGTTCTGAGTGCAGAGATTTCTTTTGCTGTGGCACAGTCCTGGAAGAACTACAGGTCAGTGTTGGAGCAATGGCTGTACTATGTCCCAGTTTCAGTGTCTAGCAATCCTAGTTTGAAGGATTGAGGGGTTAGGCAAAATGGTTGAATCTGCTGGTCAGGGTAGATCAGATTTCCCCTACTCAACATCATCTGTGGCCAGGTGATAGGGAAAGGTGGTCTAGAAGCTTGGGGAAGGTGGGTTAGGTGGATGGTACGTAGGTCTTGGGATCAAGCTACTTGGTGCATTGTGTTTCGATAAGAGGAAACTACTTCTAATAGGCATGTCCCAGGAGGGAACTGTGCTTAACCTTTTCCCTTAATTACAGTTTTCCCACTTCAGATCTCCAGCAGTTATTCTCCTTGCAGAGTCTTAAATGCACATGTCTGCTTTTGAAACTTGGGGGTTTTGGAAAGTTGAAAAGGAATGGGAAAGCAGATAGAGAGGAAAGGTAGAAGAAAAGGCAAAGTCAACCTGAGTTGCTTTCCCAGTAGCAGATTTTTTCACTGTTTAGCTGCTCAAACTAACACTTCCAGCCACTGTAGAGTTTGTAGAATACCATTGTATTCAGGGTACAACAGTGCTAACCTTAGCATCTCAAGCATCCCTGACAAATCTGTCTTCTGATGGATCTCCAATTACATGTAACTGCTCTGGTATGATTTTCTAAATAAGAAATAGCTGTGTGGGTTTTTCCCCATCATATGTAGCTTCCTCCAGAATTCCGTATTCAATGGAAGACGGTATAGTGCAGAATTTTCCATAGCTGTGGAGCAAACTTGGATGCAGCCTAGCAGGGTGCCTGTGACAGAATACATGAGTAGTTTCCCACCCAGTAAAAACATCCAGTTGTTCCTTTTGAATAAATGGTTTCCAGAGCAAATGCTGAAGTTGTCTTGTGACATGCAAGTACATATGTACTGTTGGGTTCCTGCACTTGTGTTGCTGAGTTAAATTTCAGTAGTATGGGGGGTGCCGGATTGTGGGGGGGGGGCACCAGAGTTGAATTGATTGAAATAATTGCAATGCACTGAAGCAAGGGATATTCCTCAAAATACAGGATTAGTTATTCCAGACACATGCAAACAAGCCCTGTCCAATGCATTCATCTAATGTGGCTCTGAAGTGTCATGGATAAGGAGTTGTGTGAGTCCCCCAATGTAAAATTTTGGTTCATGTGACTTCAAACCCTCTTTTGGTTCATGTGACTTCACACCCTGTCCCTGCTGTATGTACACACATTTTCAGAGGGAAAACTGTTTTGGGAACTGAGCCGTCTATATGACTGGCTTGCCTTCATTTCTACTGCAGCTTCAGCATTGGTCCAGTTCTTACATACCCAAATGAAACTAATCTTTATGTCAGCAAACTGCAAAGCACTCATTTTCTTTCAGTAAGGCTATTGTAGCCATCCAGTTTTTCTGCAACGTCAATCTGATGGTAAGTGGGGGCTTTGAGCAAGCCCTCCATCTCAAATTCAGCTCTTGTCAGATCAGTATGTGAAGCCGTTCAGAACATCTTAAGGCTTTGCTGTTCCCTGTACTGTGCTTATAGCCAGCAGCACTGTTAGCTGATGACTCATTTCCTTGTGCAACAAAATTGTGGAGGAAGAGAATGACAAAATGTGAGTTTGTGTTGCATTCCTGAAAGCTGACTCTGCCATGGGAAGATCCCCAAAGTTCCTCTATTGCAGTAACAACTTGCTTTTTATGTTTAAAAAAAGCTATCAAAAGTAAAAGTGATTTTTCCTGATGGTTTCACCTAATACAGCCTTCTTCAACCTGGCACTCACCAGGTGTTTAGGGACACAAGTCCCAGCATTCCTGACCTTTGGCCATGTTGGCTGGGACTGGTGAAACTTGATGGCCAGAACATTTGGAAGGATCTAGGTTGAGCAAGGCTGGCCTAATTCATAGCATAGACATACACATATACCAGGATTTGTTTCATTTTCTAGCTATACTGTCTGTCTGTATTATGAGGGAATGAAAGAGAATCTCAGTGCAGTCTTTATTTTCTGAAATAGCATCTGCTATCTATGTAGGTGTGTCCAAAGAATTGCAAACAGTGGCTCAATTTGGAAATTCCCAATATTTGAGCAGAGAACAGAGTATTAGGAGAGGTCAGCCTGGTGCCGACATTATATGTTTTTCAGTGCCAGGTTAAGACCTTTTTATTTAATCAATATTTTAATAAGTTTTAATATTGAATTTTATCATCATATTTTAATTGTAGCCAGAGTGAGTCGTTTATTTATGTTAGATATTTGTATTTTATTTGTGTAAGCTGTCCTGAGGCTTTTGCAAAGGACGGCATACAAATATCCTAAATAAATAAATAAATAAATTAATAGGAAGGATTTGCACACAGAGGGTAATGTGTCAGTGCTATATTCTCAAATACCATTGACAACATGATTTTAACCATCTCTGATACATCACCTCTCATCAGTGTTCTGCAGATTTTTTCCCCTCAGCCCTTTGTTCTGTTTTAGATCTCTGTTTTAGAGTGAAACTAGGCAGTGATGAACATTTATTCTAAGTTCGTGTGGATGTTTGGCATAGCTGTAGTTGTATAAAATGACTGGTCGCCTCTGATTGTGAAGCCATATTGGCCATAGGCATTGCGTTTGACTCCTTGGTCACCCTGCCAGAGAGAATCGCAGGCCACCCTCTAATCCATTATTGCTGTGTATAAATCTTCCTCGAACCTCATGGTTTTTCAACTGTGTTTTGGTGTTCTGTAGATGCTTCTTCATGAGTTTCTTAGTGAATGAATTCAGAGACCTGAAAGGGAAGGGATGCCTCTCACACAGATGTGTGTACCACATTTGAGGACGGGTGATGAGGTGAGGTTGTTCCAGCTCCCTGGTCAAATTATCTCATTCAACAGCTGGCCAGTTTCACATGTGTTGGACAGAAAGGAGGAGGAATTCATTGATGAAACAATCACCCATCTGAATAAAATTCTCCAGCTGGTGGAGGTAGTCTCAAACATGATGCTGAGAAGCCCAAAATGTTTAGTAATAGTACTACTTCTACTACTACTGTTATACGTTTGCTTCCCAATGATTTTTCTCTTGCAAGAAATGGAACATGGCTTACATAGTACTCTTCCACTGCATTTTCTCTTCCACTCCCATTTGATCCTCAGAACAACAGCTCTGTGAGGTGGTTAAGAGTGAGTGACTGCTTCAGTGAGCTTCATGGCTGAGTGAGAACCAGAATTCAGATCTCCCAGTCTCCAGCCAGACACACTAACTACCACATTGTGCTGTTGGGTCTTCTGGGACCGAAGCTCACTTGGAACGCAGCTCTGGATTTCATGGCAGCTCCAGGCCTGTCTCAAATTATATCTGTCCCAACCTGTGGAGCAGTGCTTTGGACTTGCTTTTTGTATTGGAGGATTTATGTTGCACACTCAGTTCAAGTAGGACAACAGTAAGGCTCAGTCCAATCAGTTCTCATATTAATGGATGGTTCCTTGTTCAAAGAAGAGTGCACAGAATCCTTTGCAAAGTGCAGGGGTTCCCTGATTAATGGGCTCATCCAGGAAGGGTTCCCTGAAGGTAGGAAGTTGTACCACCTCTAATTAGTATTTAGAGAGGTTTTGCAGGCTGCTATTGAGGATTTATAAGGCTTGTTATGCTACATGCCAAGCAGGTAACCCAAGTCGTGGAGGGAGGGACCAGAAACAGACAACAGGTCTGTCAGAGGTAAATGCTGTGGGAACATATCCACAAGCGAAGCAAGCTAATTTAAAATGAACCAACTGCTCTTGAGCAATCTTTTAGTTGTATTCCTGTCAAATCATATGGGACCCTGAATTTAATATTTTTAGAAGTACTGTGGTATACTGATTTTATTATAATTAATTAAAACCAGTGTGAGATCTTTCTGTTTGTAAACTACCTCGTGTGAGTCATGGTTATGGGCAGTTTTGCAGGCCACTGACAAGCAACCAAGACAATGGTTTGCAGTGGAATGTAATCCAGCCCTGTGTGGTACATGGATGCACAAGGATGTGCTACTTGCTGGTTCCAGGGAGGGTGCAGTCTTGTATGCTAGTTTTGTGAATTCAGCTTACCTAAAAATATGTTAGCACCTAAGAAGAGCCATGCTGGCTCAAACCAAGGGCCCATCTAGTGCAGAATTCAGTTCACACAGTGGTCAGCTGACTTTCCATGGGAAACATGCAAGCAGAATATTAATGCAACTTCATTCTCCTATCCATCTTTCCCAGCAGCAGAGTTATGCAGCCTCTGATATTGGAGGTAGTTTATAGCCATGGTACCCAGTAGCCATTAACAGTCTTATCCTCCATGAATTTGCCCAATCCCCTTTTAAAGTTGTCCAAATTGATGACCATCACTACATCTTAACCTAGTCATCACTGCATACTAAAGTACTTCCTTTTATCTGTCCTGAATTTGCCATCTATCAGCTTTATGGAATGACCACAACTTCTCATATTATCAATGTCTT